GCAGGCCAGGAATTAGCAGCCTTGGGGCAGAGATAACAACATCCAGGGCTTATTTCTCCCCAGAGAAGATGCTTGACCAAAGCAAGGAGTAAGCACAGCAGGGCCTCACTAGAGCAGGCAGAAGAAAGGACTAACATTCACAGAGGCGGCTGAAATATCCAGGGCTAAAAGATGGCACCAAAATGTGCGTTTTGAGACATTTCAGCCAGCTGTAGAGATTGGGAACAACTTCACTACGGGGCTAACACCCAATGGCACAGGATGAAACGAGGCCCTTCTTAACATGCTGGGCCTGTGGTTCCCAGCTCTAATTAACACAACCGGTTCCCCCTCCCACTCCGTACAGGCACTGACTTCTACAGCAACGAAGTGAGCCTTCGCTGCCCTTTGAACATCTCATGGCATTTGTTTGATAAAGCTATAGTTACAGGATAAACACTGACTAGAAACAAAGATGACTAAATTCCCCTACAGATTTTTCTTTAAATCACTTTTATGTCCCCAGATTTCCTTAAGCAGCTGGCTAGCACTCCCAGACTGACAGATGGGAGTCATCTCGCTTCATGGCACTCAAATGCTATTTATGGCATCAAACACCGCATAGGATCCCTCAGAGAAGAGCGACATGGATCCAAACGCACTCAGGAATTACAAGTCATTTGAAATCAGTGGGGTAGCTCGAGATGTTCAGGTGTGGGGTGGCAGGACTGTTCTCCCACGGCTTTCTGGCCAATGCGTATGGATGTTAGCCATGAAGCTTTCCCACACACCAAAGGAAGAAAGACCCTGGAGTAATTAGCTAATCTCCCTTTGTTGCAATCTCATTCAAAGCACATAATAACGCTCATAAAAATAGCCTTTCCCATGGCAGAAACTGTGGATTTTAGCAAAAAAAAAAAATTACTTCAGCCTGTATATCACACCGTGGGGAAAAGTATCAGTGATCTTATATCAGCATTAAATACACATGTTAACCCACCATTCGGAGGCCACAAGTAGGAGAGGGTTTTAGACGTGCACATGAATAGTCAGTTAATGAAAGACAGAGGCAGAAGTTCTAGGCTAAAGGGGTTATACTCTTAGGTCAAATAGGCTCAAAGTTGAAATCATGTCACAATCTATATTGCGGAAACGTTTAAGTATTAACCAAGAATTAGAGAAAGGGAAGTAATTTAGAGTATTTTTTTTTAATTCTGGTTTCCTAAGGAAGTAAGGCGTCTCAATTACATACCCCACATGCACGTGGGCAGGTTCCCACCCCCACCAAGGACCTTTGAATCTGCCAGCCAAGCCCAAATCAGTTTGACAGCGATGGAGGCCTCAAGGATGTTTAAGTTCCTACAAGAGTTGAGAAAATAAGACAGCCAAATGAAGGAGAGAGACAGAAATCACATTAGTGCCTTGACTCCAAGAAGAACTGCAATGCGCGCTCAGGCACAGAATCCACATAGGAGATTTTGGCCTACTTTTTGCCACCAGGTGGGTTTTCTGCTGTGTAATAACATCCAAGATCATAAACGAAACTTTCAAAAGTGTCAGGACATCTGTAGTAGCTCTCATGTGGATAAAGTCCACCGACTATAAGGGAGTTTATAACAGGTTAAATAGAGATAT